CTGTGACCACAGACACTCACTTTAAAAACCAAAGGGAATTTTTTGGGGAAAAAACACTTTCAGCATCCCTCCACTGCAAACCCCTTTTAAAGGGATGGCTTGGGAGGGAGTGACACCAGGACATTGAACTCTGCTGGGGAAAAAAATTGTGGCCAGATTGTTCGACAAAGGGGTTTTGAAGGATTTGGGGCGCCCTAATGAGCCCAGTCTGGTTGAAAATCAATTGTGGACGGGGAGTTCCATGGGGGGGGATGGAGTTTGGGGATGTGGGAAGTTGATGGAAAACCCAATGAAGGCTCACCACTGAGGATGCAAGAGTTTAGCAGGAAAGCAACACATTGCAGTCAGAATCTTGCTGCAGAGGAGAGGAAGAGAATGAAGAAGGGTGCCTTCTTCAAAATTTAAAGAGATTTTTATTTGGGGGAAGAGGGAAAAAGCTTTATGGAGAAACACACCCTAAAAAGGTTTTTTGCAAGCCGGTTGGCAACATGTCGTGACAAAGTCTTGGGCCATTTTAGGGAATGTTAAAAAAGACGCCCAAAAAAAGAGCTCTCCCACAGTCATTTTGCGAGACAGAACCCAGTGCTCTCAAGGTGGTCCCGTGGCATTAAGAAACAGAGAAGAAAAAAACCCCAGAAAAAACAAATGGTACCCGAGGTGTTATAGAAGGGATTCCCCTACCAAACCATAAAAAACCCTCTCTCTCCTCCTCCGTCTCCCATACACTAAGAAGAATTCTAAAAAGGGGAAGTGTTAGCTGTTAAAGTTTTTATTTATCATTTCCCATGTATTGTTTATGTACTACAGTAATTTTTATGTTAAAAATTTTTTTGTTTTAAATTCTGGGGCAGGGCGGGTTAATTGTATTTCTTATTTCTTACAGGGGAAATTGATTCGTAAAACGTAAATTTCGTTTATAGTAACGGCTCCAGGAACGGATTAATTATGAAAAACGAGGGACCACTGTATATATTTCTTCCCCAGAATCCGTATATCACATAAATACAGATCGACTGATCAAAAAAAAAAATTTTTATCACTTCTATTGTGTAATCCCAATGATGAGTTGTGCTATATCATACCTTGTAATGCATTAGAGTTTCATTACAGTAAGTTTCATTATACAGTGGACCCCCGCATACCGTTGGCATCACATAACGATTAATCCGCATACCGCTTGCTTTAATCGCAAAAATTTTGCCTCGCATACCGCTTAAAAACCCGCTCACCGATGTTCGTCCGAGACGAGTCCAATGTGCGCCCTCAGCCAGCCTCACATGTGCCGCCGGTGGCATTGTTTACCAGCCAGCCTCCGCGGTAACATCCAAGCATACAATCGGAATATTTCGTATTATTACAGTGTTTTCGGTGCTTTTTCTGGAAAATAAGTGACCATGGGCCCCAAGAAAGCTTCTAGTGCCAACCCTACAGCAATAAGGGTGAGAATTCCAATAGAGATGAAGAAAGAGATCATTGATAAGTATGAAAGTGGAGTGCATATCGCCGACCTGGTCAGGTTGTACAAGAAACCCCAATCAACCATCGCTACTATTGTGGGCACCAGAAAAACAATCAAGGAAGCTGTTCTTGCCAAAGGTTTAAACTGTGTTTTTCGAAACAAAGATCGCAATTGATGGAAGATGTTGAGGAACTCTTATTGGTGTGGATAAATGAAAAACAGATAGCGGAGATAGCGTCTCTCAAGCGATCATATGTGAAAAGCTAGGAAGTTGCATGAGGATTTAATTAAAAAAATGCCTGCAACTAGTGATGATGTGAGTGAATTTAAGGCCAGCAAAGGTTGGTTTTGAGAGATTTAAGAAGCGTAGTGGCATCCATGTGTGAAAGGCATGGTGAGGCTGCCGTTCGGACCACAAAGCGGCTGAAAAATATGTGCAGGAATTCAAGGAGTCATAGAAACTGAAGGAAAAGAAACCTGAACAAGTGTTTAATTGTGATGAAAAAAGGCCTGTTCTGGAAGAAAATGCCAAGCAGGACCTACATTACTCAGGAGGAAAAGGCACTCCCCCGGACATAAGCCTATGAAAGACAGGGTTACTTTGTTGATGTGTGCCAATGCTACTGGTGATTGCAAGTGAAGCCTTTATTAGTGTATCACTCTGAAACTCCCAGAGCGTTCAGGCAAAAGAATGTCCTCAAGGAAATTTTTTGTGTGCTGTGGAGGCAAACAGTAAGGGATGGGTCACTAGGGAATTTTTCTATAACTGGTTTCAAACCATGCATTGCCCCCAATGTGAAAAATTACCTAACTGAAAAGAAATTAGAACTTAAGTGCCTCCCGGTGTTAGACAATGCCCCTGGTCATCCTACAGACGTGGCAGAGCGACTTTAAAGGGGACATGAGCTTCATTAAGGGGAAGTTTTTGCCTCCTAATACCACTCCTCTCCTGCAGCCCATGGACCAGCAGGTTTATTTCCCCAAATTCAAGAAACTGTACACAAAAGCTCTGTTTGAAAAGTTTCTTTGTAATGACCTCAAACTCAACGACTCTAAGAGAGGTTTTGGAGAGATCACTTTAATATCCTCAATTGTGTAAACCTTATAGGTAAGGCTTGGGAGGAAGTGACAAAGAGGACCTTGAACTCTGCTTGGAAAAACTGGGGGCCAGAATGTGTAGACAAAGGGATTTTGAAGGGTTTTAGGCTAACCCCTGAGAATCCTGTGCCAGTTGAGGAATCCATTGTGGCATTGGGAAAGTCCTTGGGGTTGGAGGTTATGGGGAGGATGTGGAAGAGTTGGTGGAGGAGGACAATGAAGAACTAAAACCCCTGATGAGCTGCTAATCAACTTCAAGAGCAAGAGGCCACACCTGAGGAAATTGCTTCGGGAGGAGGGAGAGAGAAATTGAAGGGAAGTTGCCTACTTCAAAGATTAAAAGGGAAAACTGTGCAAAAGTGGCTTGAAGTGCAAACCTTCAAAAGGATGAAAATCACCCTCACACAGCTATTGCAAGCCGTGCTGGTGATTATTACACTGACAATGTTGTGAAACACTTTAGGCAAGTCATAAAGGAACGAGAGGTACAGGCCACTACGGACAGATATCTTGTGCGAAAGAAGTCCATGACTCTGAAGCTGGCCTAGTGGCATTAAAAGAAGAAGGGAAGTAACCCCAGAAAAGGACTTACTACCTCAAGTCCTAATGGAAGGGGATTCCCCTTCTAAACACTAACACACTCTCTCCCCTCCTCCCATCCCATCAATCATCACCAGATCTTCAATAAAAGTAAGTGTCATTTAATTGTGCATGCCTTTTTCAGTTTGTGTGTATTAAAATTAACATTTCATGTGGTAAAAAAAATTTTTTTTCATACTTTTGGGCGTCTTGCACGGATTAATTTTATTTCCATTATTTCTTATGGGGAAAATTCATTCGCATAACGATTATTTCGCATAACGATGAGCCCTCTTGCACGGATTAAAATCGTTAACCGGGGGTCCACTGTATTAGCTGTATGTCGGGACAACATACGTTAGCATCGCCGAGCTCTCAGTAGTACCAGTTACCAGTAGATGACTCACTACCAACCGTCTGTGTGAATCACTGACTGTTATTCACGTTGCTGCTGACCATAGAATGTTTTTGAACACCGCACCCTCGAGGCACTGGTGGATCAGTCCGAGATAGAGAGCATAGAGAGGCAGGGCGGCTGATGGTGTTTCCCATACTTTCCGTTATAATTATACATACTAACCAGCCTACCTGAGTGTTTTTACCCCATCCACGTTATCGAACCCACATGAAAATTTGGTGACAGCGATGTGGGCGTGGATCTACGGGTATTTCTGATGTTAGAAGATTGTTTGTGGGGTGCCGTCAGCTCAGAGGTGAACCGTCTCTGCCACCTCCAGCTAGCAGCTTACCCTCACTTACCTCCACCCTGTGTACTCGAGCCTGCAAGCCTGTTGCAGCCTCTTTTCAAGCTTCCTGGCTTAGTTCGTGTGCTAGTTGCTTCAATCTCTGAGGGGTTGACCCGGATTTTGCAATTAAGCCGGCCAGTGAGCCAGACTGTGGAAGTGAACGCCAGTCACCCTGCCTCAGCCTATCATCCAGCCTGTCTCCTGTCATCCACCTGCTCCTTCATGCTGTGTGCATCGTTACACGTCTTCCAGTCAGCCATTCTCGTGGGTTAAGCCAGTCAGTCCACCCAGCTTCGTAACCCAGCTGAGAGAGAGAAGTAAGCCAAGCAAGTTCCTCTGAAGTATTGTCTCCTATGTCATTTTGTGCTCCCAGTTGGATGCTGGTAAGAGTGGTCTTCACCATCCCTGTGGCATATTGTGGCTTACTTAAGCCACCTGGGTGTTTGAGTGGCAGTGGGCGCCAGTGGGCCAGGTTGCCACACCCACCCGCCACCCACTCCCCACCTCATCTACATGTGGGTTTTTCCACCCTTGTACCGGGTCCTAGTACTGTTTTGGCTCACATAATTGGTCAAGAGATTGTAGCTGTGCGCCAACGATAAAGCCAGTTATGTGAGTTCACCTAGAAAGCGCATTTCTTCACGACAAGTGTGAGTGTAGGAGGAATCACCACCAGCACAGGACCACGTCTTCACCTCATCACCGGTCACCGCCCGTCTACCACTCCAGACTTCAGCGATAATTTTCTGTTTAGAGACATTTTCCTGCATTTAAAAACATTTGTGTGTGTGACACTTTTGCAGTGAATTTCTTGTGTACTCTAAGTCTTGTATTTTCAGTGTAGACACTTTCTTTGACTCATTATTTTTGCAATATTTTTCATTGTTATCGCTCATCTTTCATGTTTCACATTTATATTTTTTTGTTTTTTTTTATGCTACTCTCTGCCTTTAGTATTATTTTTTAGTGTTCAAGTGTATTCCTTATTTCTGTGCAGTATTTTGTTCTTTACCCCAGTCATTCACTGCATGTGAATTAATTCATTATTTTTTTTATTGTGTGTTCTTTCAGCATGTAGGATACAGTACAGTAGTTATTCATTGTATTTAATTTTTCAGCCCTTTATAGGAGGGAAGTCTAGGGGCATATTCTACTGGCAGCCTCCAGAGAGCACAACCCTTTCTCTCAGAATGAAAGTTACGACAAAAGCTGATGGGTAAGTTGTACTAAATGTTTCACTAGTTCCCCACATGTACCTTGTAAACAGTTCTTTAGATTCCTGAATATTTTATCAACTGAGCACAAGAAATTACCCATTGAAATATTTTCAACTACCCAGTAAAGTGATTAGTAATTTGTAATTTGGCCAATTTCACATAATTTTCATTATTTGCCAATTTTGAAATATTATTAATTTTTGTTATTAACATTATTAACACATCTGCCAATTCCCACCAAGGCAGGGTGATTCCCGTGGCATTCAGTTGGAGGCTTTTTTGCTTCTCACCCTCTCCATGTTTTGAATGCAGGTACCCCCACCCATTTTGATCCTCGAACTCGTACGCGCTCTCTTGCATCCATCTTTCAGTCTGCTCTTCCTTCAATGCACTAGACTTCACCTGGTCTGTTCTCCTTGACTTGCATGATAGCAATTGTTTTCCAATCATTGTTACTTATCCTTCATATTCACCACCTCTTCGTACCCATGCTGGCAATTTGATCAAGCAAATTGGACCTTTTACTCGCAACTGCTGCTTTTAGAGAGGTTCCTTCCTCGTCCTCCATTGATGAGCTTTTATACGTCTTCTCGACCTCAGTTTTAACCTCAGCATCTCATTCTATACCCCAAACCTTGGGCAGGCATTCTCAGAAGTACGTGCCTTGGTGGTCTCCTGCTTGTGCTCGGGCAGTACATTTGAAACGCGCTGCGTGAAGCAGGTACCAGTACAATAGAACCACAGAGACTTCTTGATATTAGGCAAAAGCGTGCGGTCGCTCTCCATGTCATCCGTGACTCTAAACGCACTTGCTGGTGAGATTGTTTCCACCATCACCTCTGCTTCCTCTGAGTGCAGTCTGGAAAAAGTAGAGAAACTGAGTGGTAAATACTTTCCTGACCCAGCTCCTGTTTTGCGGGTTGCTGGTGTTGATATAGCAAACCCTCTTGATGTTGCCATTGAAATTGGTAATCATCTGACCCGTATTTCTCAGGGGCTCCATCTATGCCCCTTTTTCTTTCCTCAAAGTCTGCCAGAGAGTTAGCATCCTTAGGCTTTTCTTCTCTCAATGAAGAATCTTATAATGTGCTTTTTACACTTCAGGAACTGGAGGCGACACTTTCAGCTTGCTGATCATCAGTAGCTGGGCCTGACGACATTCATATTTAGATGTTACAAAAATTTGCATCAGTCAGCCCTTGCAGTCCTCTTATAACTCTTCAATCTTATTTGGTCACAAGGAGTTCTTCCCCACTGTAGAAATCTGCCATTGTTCTCCGTTTGTGCAAACAGGGCACTACGGGACATGATTCCTCCCACTACCGTCCCATTGCTCTTACCAGTGCAGTTTGCAAAGTGATGGAACATCTGGTAAATCGACGTTTAATGTTGTATTTAGACACACAACAGTGTCTCTCCACTAGTCAACATGGCTTTCCGTTCAACCATTGACCCCTTCCTACGCTAAGATACGTATGTTCGTAATGCCTTTACCAATAACCACTCAGTTATTGCCATATTTTTTGACCTTGAGAAGGCATATGACAACTTCTGGGTATAATATTTTGGCCCAAGCCCAGTCCTTAAGTTTCCAGGTTCTAACTGGAAGTGCACTTTCATGGTGTTTTGAGATGGTGGTGTCATGTTAGCTGCTACTGCCTTCTGGTAAAAGCACCATGAATCAGGACCAGTTGGGCAAAGATGATGATGTGGATTTGTATCACTGGATGAGCAATGGAAAAAGCTTGCATGGATGCCATTCCTCATCCTTAGAACATCAGTGTCGACATGGTCTCGCAGGTTCTTCTGAAAATAACTTTCCAGTTTGTCGATGATAAAATCTGTTAGCATGCCCTTCTTCAAATCAAACTGCTTTCTTTTCTTTCCTGTTTTCAATTCTTTTTCAGTGTAGTGGGACTTCACTAAATTGGTTAGTCTGTTCTTTAGTCGTTTAGAGTAATGATTTATACATTCCTCTTTTACAACCTGTACACCTTGATAGGGACCTGCACCATTATTGAGTTCAACAAGTCCTTTGTAGGTACTGCTGTCACCATCACACAACAGTTTTGTACCTCAATTTATTTTCTAGTGATCTCTGCCATATCACTATTGCTGCTTCCACTTCCATCCTTCCAGAAGAACCTGTGAAGTTCTTGCAGCATACACTTTTATGGTTTTCAGTCAATTGTTCATATTGTTCTTCAGAAATTTTCTTGCTTTTCAAATGATACTCGAGGAACATACACAAGAAACAGAACTTACACATTATTTGATAATCAATCAAGTTTTGTAACAGCATCAATTGTAACACCAATGCCACGATTTGGAATGATGGCCCCTTTTATGCCATGTTCCATCATATGTGACATCAATATCAAGTACTCCACTTTGGTCTGACACAATGTCTAGTTTACCATATTCCCTAACAATCACCTCTCTTGATTCTGCCATGATCTGCTTGCACGATTGAATGGATGCATCTGTAATGAGTGCCGTATATTTATTAAATGTTTTAAAAGTCAAGGAAGGCAAATTACACACTGCAGTTTCAACGGCTAAAGGATGCATATCCACCACCTGTACACATTTCTGCATATAACATCCTTCCGGTTGCAACATTCATATCCTTGCGCACACTTGGTTTCATCACAACACATTATTTTTACACTCAGGAGAGTATGCACTAACATTGTCTCTAGGTGGTGATGATTGAATATAAAAACATTATTACTGAAACATTTCAGACAGCACACACATGACAGAATCAAATCAAAATTAGTATTTTTCCATAAACACCATAAACTTTTCAGTAACTTCAGGAGTTACTTTCTGAAAGAGCGACACTCGCTTTTTGGCACTGGAAATATTCCGATCACTAACACTTTCGACACCAAATATATCAATGTCAGTCGCATTAATCACTTGTAGATGTGCCAGCGACAGCTGAGCTAGTGTCAGCTGAGATGGTGACAGCTGAGCAGGCATCAGCTGACATGTCAACATCTGGGGTGGCCACACGTGGTGTGGCCAAGGAAGGGACGGCCACATCTGGGGTGGCCAAGGAGTGGATAGTCACAGATGCTTTTATGATCCTCTAGCTTGGCAACGTCGGGTGGCCACATCTGGGGTGGCCAAGAAAGGACTGGCCACATCTGGGTGGCCAAGGAAGGACTGGCCACATCTGGGTGGCCAAGGATGGCCAGCCATGTCTGGAGTGGCTAAGGATGGGCCAGCCACGTCTGGAGTGGCTAAGGAGGGCCCAGCCACGTCTGGAGTGGCTAAGGATGGGCCAGCCACGTCTGGAGTGGCTAAGGATGGGCCAGCCACATCTGTTATGGCCAAGGAGGGGCTGGCCACACTGGTTCTCTTAAGGAGCTTGATATTTACAAAGAACTAACTGCAGATAAAATGATGAAACGTTGTCTGAAAGGCAGGACACAGAATCCTAATGAAAGGCTCCATCACCGAATTTGGTCCTACTGCAACAAGGCACTGAATCGAAACAAGTGGCAGGCTGATTTCTCAGCCAGTCAAGCCATAGCCGAGTATAATGCTGGATATGAGAGAAGTTGTATCGATATACCACTTGGCTTTGGGCGTTCATTGTTTACCCAAAGGAAGCTTCAAGCTATGGACAAGAGGATGCAGAGAAAAAAAAAAAAATCCAAGAGGAGGAGACTTACGATAGATACTTCCTATTAGCCTGGAGGACATTAGATGATCATTGGTGTCCTTACCAACACCTACTCAAAGGTATGTAATTCATGTGATTTTCTTGTATATTTGTATGTGAATAAATATGACATACTTGTAATTACATGTATCTGTGTATATAATCACTGGCAATACGATTTTGAGAATGTATTTCCTTCTTTTCAAGTTGGGATGCATGGAGCATTGTGATTGGCCGATCTCCAGGGAACTTCAGGATGCAGGGATCTGCATGGTACTTAAAGGATATACTCTATACACTTGTTTCTACTATCAATAAACATAAGAAGGCACCATGAGTATTTTTACCCACCATATAGTAAGCCTCAATATATTTCTTCATTTATCTCAGAAGTGCATTATTTTCATATATATAAGAGTATCTCAGTTATTTATGAACCGATCTTCATTATTTTCACACTGCTTATTCAGGGGACATTGTTCTAAAAATGAATGATTCAATTTGTGTAATCATCCCTTCCATTTTGGCACACCATGGGTATGAAATGCAAGAATGGTGTAAAACAAGTCAAGACATACTTTTTTTTTGTTACTAATAAGTGTAATAATACATAAAAGAAACCACCAGAAAATCAATATGGCATTGCTTTATCATTGTAGGGTATCAAAAACAACTTCGACACTGCCACTTCTACATAAGGGTGCCATAAATGTTGCCATGTCCAAATGCTAATATTTATTTTTTTTTTAACATTATTTATTGGACAATCTTGATGTAACTTATACTGCATAAACTATGGCATGCCTAGAGTCTATGGTAAAAATTTCAGTTAAATCACATGAAGGGAACAAAAGTCGAACAGAGAGGATCATTTTCCCCCCTTAAGCCTCTGAGGCAATCTACCATCCTTTGTTAAGAACTTCTTAACTGACAGACATTTCTGTGTTCGGGTTAATAATATGCTCTCCCCGGATTTTGTCCAAGCTGAAGGTATCCCCCAGGAATGTGTTTGGAGCACAACACATTTTCTTATTGCTATAAATGATTTGTCCTCTCTTCTTCCATCCAATATTTGGTCGTCACTATGTTGATGACTTCGCTATAGCTTCTGCAGATGCTGACTGTCACCTCATTGCAGTTTCTCTCCAGCATGTGGTCAACCATGTTTCCAATTGGGCCACCACGCATGGGTTTAAATTTCCCAGTACTAAAACTCGCCAACTTACTTTCACTAGACGTTCTGTCATTTCTGATCATCCATTGTACCTCTGTGGCTCACGTATCCCTGAACGTGATGCGGTCAGATTTCTAGGCCTTCTGTCTGACTGTAGGTTATCCTGGAAACCTCGCATTACCTCTCTGAAGGCAACTTGTCACAGCCGGCTGAACCTTCTTAAAACCCTCGCTCATCTTTCATGGGGAGCTGATCGTTGAGCTCTCGTTCGCCTACGTTCAGCCCTCATTTTATCGAAACTATTATGATGACCAGATCTATCGGCGGCCTCTGTTGCTACTCTCTCTAGACTTAATCCCATCCATCACCAAGGATTACGTTTATGCCTTGGTGCTTTTCGCTCTTCACCTGTTGAGTCTCTCTATGCGGAAGCACACGTTCCATCCTTGTCCGATCGCCATGATGCCCATAGCCTTCGCTACTATGTTCACTCTCGTGATCTCCGCAATCCTTCCACACATAGAATAGTCACTGATGTTAGTAGATATTCTTTATTTGTTCGTTGCCCCTGTTTGCTCCGCCCCTTTTCTCTACGCCTACATTCGCTCGTCTTTCCTTCATTTACCACCTTTCTATGTTCATGTAGCATCTCGCTTTTCCCTACCCCCCTGGGAAGTTCCAGGTGTTTGTCTGTTCTTACTCACTCCCTTGCGCGAAAGCCCAACTGCCTATGGTAGCTTCCCACACTTTTTCTTGACCACTTCTGCTCTCATTCTCACGCCATCACAGAGTACACAGATGTCTCCAAGTCTTCTGACAGCATTGGATTCACAGCAGTGTTTCCAGTGTTGTGCGAGGGCATTTACTATCCTTGGCTTGCATTTTTACTGCTTAATTGTATCCCATTCTTGCAGCACTTATCCGTATTGCATCCGTGCCTGTGTAATCATTAGTGGTCGTTTCAGACTCCCTTAGTGCTTTACAGGCTTTACCAAAATCTGATACAGAGAACTAGGGGGTGAGGTGTATCTAATCTTGGTTACGCCACATCTCTACCAAGCATAAAGATATTGTTTTTTGTTGGGTCCCTGGTCATGTTGACATACAGGGCACTGAACAGGCAGACACTGCTGAGCGGTCAGCAGTACATGACCTTCCAGTTTCATATAGAGGTGTTCCATTCACCGACTATTTTCCTGTAATTGCTATCCACCTTCATACCCGTTGGCAACAACGTTGGTCTGATGTGCTCAATAACAAACTTCATTCTATTAAACTGAGTACAGTGGACCCTCAACCAGCGATGGCATCGATTAACAATAAATCTGACTAGCGATACATTTTAACGCAAAAATTTTGCCCCGACCAGGC